AAAGCTTTTCATTGAAAAAAAATGTTGAGCATTCTTAGTGAAAAAATTTGTTTTAAACAGATGTCCAGCTGAAAAAATACATAATTTGAAACTGGTGGAGATACCTTACTTCAAGAGGATGACTTAGAAATGATGGGTTTGAAGTTTCAGTTTGATCAACATTATACTTCAAAATACGAATGACAATACTCATAAAGATAATTACAAATAAATTAGAAATAAAATAGTCTGAAATCACTGAAATCCATGGTTTTGGTACGAAAAATGGATTCATATTTTTCAAAAGTAGTTTGACATATTTTACCTTTCCTTACTATTCATGGCCAATATTTTCAACATCTCGGCAATGCTGATAGGTCAAAATCCTCAACTTTCTGCTGAAACTTAATACAACTTCATTTATCAACAAACATCACACACACACAAGAAGTGAAGATGAAGGACAACACCCATCCAAAAACAAGACTCCAAGGACTTTGCAGACAGATTTTCCCATCAGTACATGACACCTGCTGTTACAGCCCTTATGAACTGGCTAAGAGGTATTAACTGGAGATGCCTTGTCTCCCCAGCACCTTCCCAAGCCCTGGGCAGAGCTGCTTACTGTATTTTACACCTGCTAGGATGCACATGTGGCAGCAGAGATTTTTGCAATTCCTTTCATTCAACTGGTATTGTCTCTGATGTGATTCATGCACTACGTCTATGGGGGAGAAAAAAATATCTTGGGAGTGTACAAGCTTGGAGAGTTATGAAAAACATCAGCTCCTTCTGCAGCTGGAGAGCAGAGGAGAGACAGCAGAAAAAGTGTGACTAACTGTTCCTGAATATACAGGAGACGTGAACCAGAAAAGGAGCTGCTACTGTGGCTGGGGAATTCATAGATCTGTGATTCACAGCATTACAGGGCACATTTGGCATGCAAAAAGAGAGGATGATGAAAGGAATCGTTAGTCATGGAGAAAAAGCCAGACAGAACACACAGAGATGCTAACCCCTGGGAAAGAGATCATATTCAGGTGTGACCCACAGCCCGGGAAAGGGAATAAAGTCCTTTTTTTTTATTATCCCCAAATTCCTTCTTACTTTGGTAGGTAGGGTACCTGAAGTAGTGCCCTCCATCCCAGCCTTGTACAAGCACCACGAACGCCAGCGCGCCATTCAAGCCTATCTCAATCTGAGAGGATGGCACCATGTTCTTCAAGCTTTTGCTAAAACCAGACAGCCGTATTCTCTCATGATCATATTGTTTTTCTTCTCTCACTTTCGAAAGCATTATTTAAGTCAGGCAAAAGAGGGAAAAAGGTCATCCTAGCTACACTCTTGGAGTGCACAGTGTTCTACACTCAGCGTGTAATTGCTGAAATCACCGCTGTTGAAACACTTGCAGATAGATAGCGTTTCTGTTAAACTTTCACCTCCTTGAAAACAGTCATATTCGAAGTAGGGATGAAGGAGGATTATTTGCCTTAGGGATCCCCTTGTCGACTCGTGTGATTGCTGTTGAAAATGGTCTGGATCTAAAAGACCACAAAGGTGTTTGATGTTCTTCATATATCCTTCAGCAAAAGAACTGGGAGAACAGTCATTGCTCTTGCGCGTTTGCATTTTCAATAACACACATGAAACAAGCTATGCCCTGCCAGTCTGGAACAAGCTCTGTCCTGCCTTGATGTACCCATGCTGTGTCTCTTTGGCTGGTGCGTGTGGGAAAAGGATGGGCAGGAAGGGGGAGAAATGACATTCAGAGGGGAGAAACAGGACTGGGACTAGGGGGAGAAGACATGAGAAATGGAGATGAGGAAATGAACTGGTCAGCAGAAACAAGACCCAAAAAATCACAGAAAGAAATTAAAGGATGAGATAGGGAGGGGAAAAAAAATGGAGACAAAAAAGCTCAAAAGACATAGGTGAAGATGTAACTATTAACACTGAAATCAAGTAAGCAGGCATGAAGACATAACAAATGAAGAAAAATAAAGTAAAATGCAAGGAAAATCAAGAAAAAATTAAATTAAGCCTCCCACCAAAAAGAAGCTGAAAAGAGAAACATGGGATAAATCAGACTGGTAAGATGGCAGAAAACAAACCAAAGAGAAAATGTGGAAGACAGTAGTACAAGTTGCATTTAAGACTGTTCATGGGACAGATCTTCCAACAATTATTTATGTTCTTGACTTGTGGTCACTGTGACGTGGTTGACCTCTGGCTTCAGAGCAGACCTCTGAGCAGCACGTACAAGCAATGGGGAACGATGACCATAACGGTGATGGCCAACCCAGAGCCTCCCAAGTGGGAGAACAATCCCACAGAAAAATCTGTGGTGCAGCAGAGAACGGAACCTCGATTTACTGTCTCCTTTATGTCAAGACAGTCTTCTGCCTTTCCTCCTCTGCTGTGTGTGATGGATGAATCCCTCCTCCGCCACTATCACTCACCTCCAGTTTGAACACTAGCCCAACCAAAATCTAGGAATAATGGAACAAGAGCATGGTAAACAATTTGGTCTGCTGCCACTGGTGATTTTTCCAGCACGGAGTACAGCCCCCTTTCTCCATTGTGAATAAATGACTCCAAATTGTTTTGCTGTCTTCCTGCAAGGTTAGGACTACCAGCCAATCTGGCAACATACACCCAAGTTGTGAAATGAATTACAGTCAACTAGTGCAACTCCAAATATGGAAAAAGCCAGTATAAAATTTTTAGAAGGATTCCCCATTCACACAGCGGCAAAAATGAGGCATGGCATCACTGGGAAACTGTGGCAATCCGTGGAATGCTATCATATCACAGTGCTTGCCATGGGTGTCTTTACCGCATGCATTAAAGCTCTTAAAGGCCGCTCCGAATCGCAAGGCGTCTCCAAGGTCCTGTGGTGTGGGCAATGCCTGTGTATGTTACCCTGCAACAGCCCTCCAAGGCTGCTAAACCACCCGCTCACGCTGCAGGTATGCACTCAAACACACAAGTGATCTCACTGTTTCTAGCAGCACCGCTCACGCGATAGCTAACTATTCACCTGAGTGAGGGCTTATCATCAATTAGGCTAAAGAAAACACCCAGGAGCGTCTTCTTCTGCCTCAACCAAGAAAAGGTTTGGAGCTGCATCCACAGCCCCTCTGGGTCCCACTGGTGTGCCTGTGTGCTTGGAAAGCAGGCACCACTGCCACCCCTGAGCAACTCAGAGCATCCACGTGGAGCAGAGAGGGCAAAATCAGCCACAGTCTGATGCCCTTTATGGCTCTTCTTACACCAGTAAAGTTGAAATGGCAGGGTTTGGCGCAAAAGCTGCAGGTAAATCTCACTGGTATATTATTATGCTTTACGTCAGATGGTCACGTTCATGCTGAACCATAACTTACCTAACTGAAACATTTCTGGTTCCTTTAAAATATGAGTTAATAATGATGAATCACCGGTTAAGGATGATCCTACATTAAGAGACACAGTACAAGGCTTTGCTATAATCAAGGAAATTACTGTTATCTAGAGACACAGAACAGCCACATTTAATTTTGCATCCTGCATTTTATCCCAAAGAAATACTAACAACACTCCCTTTAGCCCCCTTGTGTGGTGCCATCCAGCACATGCCCATCAGAAACAATGAATACATACATCAAGTGAAGAGTAAGGGTAATTTCCTGTGGTTGTTTTACAAGCAAGAGATTAAGCTCTGACTACCCTGCAGAGTTCAAACAATGCACTGGTAATAAAACTGATGGCATAGCATGTAATCAGAAGTCAAACAGAAAGTTTGACATGCTTAATACAGCATTCATATGTAAAATGTCTGCAGTGGAAACAGCCCAGCCCTCTAATTTCAGTCTTTGTTGCAAAATGAAACCTTGGGCCAGGTGCCTCTGAACACATGCTGAAGTCCCTCTCAAAGGATGGAGACAGAATTTCTCTGTGGAAATGATGCAAAACTCCGACTGGCTCCGCACAGGCAGTAACGCTCTGGAGCCCATCAGAAGACGGGCTCTGTTTGAGCCTGTTAGTAAGCACGTAATTGCCACACGTGACTGCATGGGGAAATGTTGAAATGTATCATCTCTGTTACCCTCTTCATTCCTCTGTTAACTGAGCAACTCTACACGGTTCATGTGTGACACCAGAGATATTTACCAAATCATTTGACGTCTTCTTGATGTTAGAAATATCCCGTAGACGTTCAATCTCAGCTTTCCTAAATGAAAGTAGTTGGACAGAATAGGCCGCATGTTTTAACCCATCTTACTGGGATAAAAACCCAGGATGGCCACGCACTTGGATCTCAGCGAGGTCCCGGGGCAGCACAGGGGGTGACACTGGCAGGAGCCGTTGCTCCAGCGTTTGCTGTGAATCACTGGGCTGCTGCGTGAGAGGGCAAGCACCACAGGGACGGGAGGGACGACACAGCCCGGGGACGGGAGGCAGGCAGGGAGGCTGCCGAGGGGCTGCGGGG